ACAACACAACACACACACACACACAAACCCAGAAATACACAACAAGGAAAAAAAGTAACCTGGGCAACATTGCAGGAAAAAAAGAAAAAAGAAAAGCTGGGCATGGTGGCACACACCTGTGGTCCCAGCTACACAGGAGGCTGAGGTGGGAGGATTACTTGAGACCAGGATGTCAAGGCTGCAGTGAGCTGTGATCAACCACACTTCCAGCCTGGGTGACAGAGACAGACTCTGTTTAAAAAAAAAAAAGGAGAAAGAAGAAGAAAGAAGAGGAAGAGGAGGAAGAAGAAGAAGAGGAAGAAGAAGAAGAAGACGACGACGACGACAACGACGACAATATTTTAGAACACTTTTCTCTGAAAAATAGCTCATAGAAACTAGGTTGAATCATTGGAAAATACATTGCTATTTCATCTGATCCAAATTGATACAATGTTACGATGGTGTTTAGGTCTCCCAGGTCAGACTCAAAAGCTTAATTCATGACTATCTTACACCAGTATTTTCTGGATTCCAAAATAAGAGGCCTAGAACTGGCAATATGCAAGATCTGAAATCAGACAGGTTAAATTGTTAAATCCTTCTTCTCCTTTTCTTCATTTTCTTCTTTAGATTAAGCCTCCTCCTCCCAGAACCTCTGGCCTAAGGCCTTCAGCCTTCCCTGAGGCACTCAGTGTTTTTCCAAAACTTGATTTGCCCCAACCTTTCTGTGTTTAGGTGCTATTGATCTGTGTTAAAAAGAAGGCGACCTGGCCAGATGAAGTATGGTAATCCCAGCACGTTGGGAGGTCGAGGCAGGAGGATTGCTTGAGCCCAGGAGTTCAAGATCAGCCTGGGCAACATAACAAGATCCCATTGTTTAAAAAAATTTTTTAAATTAGCCTGGGATGGTGACAGGTGCTATTCAGGAGGCTGAGATGGGAGGATTGTTTGTGTCCAGGAGGTCGAGGCTGCAGTGAGCTGTGATCATGTCACCGCATTCCAGCCTGGGCAACAGAGTGAAACCCATCTCAAAAACACACAAAAAATAGCAACCTGATTGAACTAGTAAATGCCAATGTGTGAACGACTATCAAACCCTCCTACCTCCTAGAGCTATTTGCATCTTTAAGAAATGATACTTAAGAATCTTTGGTGGAATTCCAGGCAATAAAAACAATGCCTTTGTGTATTTGTTTAGATACGCAACTTATAAGTCAAGAGTTGAGAGGATGAAGTCTACCAATACTATGTTTCCCCTTCAGACAGTTTGTGACTTTGGTAAGTAAATTTCTGTATGATATTTTATATCTAGTTACCTCTATTATTAAAATCTTGTTTATTTGGCATTCGATGGACCAATATTAGCTATGAAATCCTTTCTAATGAAACCAAAGTAGGGGATTAGGCCAGGTTACAGTAATGCCTGTAATCCCAGTACTTTGGGAGGCTGAGGTGGGAGGATCACCTGAGTCCAAAACGTTGAGGCTGCAGTGAGCCATGATCATGCCACTGCACTCCAGCCTCAGCGACAAAGTGAGACCAAGTCTCAAAAAAAAAAAAAAATACAAGAAGAAAGAAAGAAATTAAAGTAGGGGACTTAAACACCTGCTTCTTCAAAAAGAATTTAAAACTCTACAGAGAAGAAATTATTCAATTATTTCATCTCTTTCCTGCTTCCTTTGGATACTAATCTAGTTGAATTACTCTGTATAGTTATAGCATATATGTAACTACTTTTGTAAGCAGAACTAATGTTTTTTTAAGAATCACAAGTAATGTATATTTCATGATTTGGATTAAACAAACAAGTTTAATTGAAAAATTATCATTGTCATCATAGGTAATATTTATTAAGGATTTAATGTACAACAACCTTATATGAGCTATTATTAATTTTTTGAGACACAGTCTCACTCTGTCACCCTAGGCTGGAGTGCAGTGGCACAATCTCCGCTCACTGCAACCTCCGTCTCCAAACGATTCTCTTGCCTCAGCCTCCTGAATAGCTGGGATTACAGGTGCATGCCACCACGCTCGGCTGATTTTTGTATTCTTAATAGAGACAGGGTTTCACCTTGTTGGCCAGGCTGGTCACCTCAAGTGATCCACATGCCTTGGCCTCCCAAAGTGCTGGGATTACAGGCATGAGCCACCACGCCCAGCCAAGGTACTATTATTATCATCCCTATGTCATAGATGAAGAAACTGAGGCACAGAGAGGTTAAGTAACTTGCTTAAAGTTCCCCAGATAATAAGTCGCGATGCCAGGATATAAACTCTGGCAGTTTCATGTTCCCTCCCTGCTGCTTCCCACCTACTTTTGATTCAGTAGATCTGGAGCGGAGCACTCGGAATTAGTAAAGTCCCCAGGTGATTCTAAAGCAAAGCCAGGTTTGAGAACCATCCTGCTCATTCACTTTGCACTGGATGGGTAGTTACTTACCTGTGTCTTAGAAATAGTAGTTCATGTGGTTAGTCAAGTAACACCTGTACACTTTCATTTCAGTAGTAAGCAAATTTGCTTGGAATCTGCTTCAGTGTTCTTCGGGCACAATGCTGAGGGGGCAGGTGAACGTTAGGAAATTGTCTCTCACCCCACGGCACAGACCACCTAGTTTAAAGGCACATGTGAGCAGGCAAATCAGGGAGAGATCATAAAGCTTGGGTAGAAGGTGTGAGGTGGGCTTCCTGAGAGGGGGTGTGAGCTGGATCTTGAAACGTGAGCATGATTTGGAGATGGAGGAAAGAAGTGGGGAATGGTCTCTGCTAAGGGAACAACTGAAGCAGGCCCTCATAAACGGCGATTCACAGCTCATCTGTGGGCGAGTGAGTACAACCAACAGGACTGGATGGCATTGAGAGTTCCTTCTGGGAAGTGGCAGGAAATACATTTGGAAAAGCAAGTTAGGGCAAGATCTGGTAAACCTTAAGTGCCAGGTCCAAATTTGGATTGAACACTGTAAACAATATGGAACCACTGAAGCTTGAAAAGGCAAAATTATAATGATGAAGGTATCGGTTTAGAAGGAATCATCTGCTATCAGTCATGACACAAGGGGAAGGATACAGAAGAGATAAGAACCACGAAAAACATTTGAAAGGTTAGAGGATCAACATAAGTGTGGGCGAATATCTTAGTAAAGGAGTGGATATACACAGAATTGGGAGTCACTGGGTCAGGTTATGCCACTGCTCAGGCTGAGTGATTTGGAGCAAATTGCCTAACATCTCTGAGCCTTAGGTTTTCTCATTGAAAAATGAGTATGATGATGGTAATGACACCCAAAATAGGCCAAGAATTTCTCTAGGGTGGTGACAGATACAAGGTAAATGGGTTAGGATTTTGAGTCTGTTTCCAGGTCTATATGAACTAAAGAATGTGTTATGGGCCGGGCGCGGTGGCTCAAGCCTGTAATCCCAGCACTTTGGGAGGCCGAGACAGGCGGATCATGAGGTCAGGAGATTGAGACCAGCCTGGCTAACATGGTGAAACCCTGTCTTTACTAAAAAAATACAAAAAACTAGCCGGGCGAGGTGGCAGGCACCTGTAGTCCCAGCTACTCGGGAGGCTGAGGCAGGAGAATGGCATAGACCCGGGAGGCGGAGCTTGCAGTGAGCTGAGATCTGGCCACTGCACTCCAGCCTGGGCGACAGAGCGAGACGCCGTCTCAAAAAAAAAAAAAAAAAAAGTGTTATGAATGGCAACAGAGACATCCACTTTGTGGAAGATGAGAAAGGGAGGGGAACTAATGGTTGGTGAATGTTCCACGAATTATGTGGGAATTACAAAGAAATTACTCTTCACACTCTTATGAAGTAGGTATTTTTATCTCAAATTAACAGTTGACCTTACTAGAGCAAAAGATAGTAATTTGAGTTACTGGATATGACTCAAATTTGAGTAGCTAGATACAAACCAAGGTTCGCTAAAATCTAAAACTTGGGCTTTTCCAACTAGCACATCATACTGTTCTAGATTTGAAAGTTGTATTTTATTTCATTGCTTCTGGCTTAATGTAGTCTGTTGAGACTGTTTTGAACTTTGATTCTGACATCTATCAAATTAATTATCCCTCCAAACTTTGGGTCATCCAAGAGGGACATCAGTTTTGCTGAGCTGGGGGAGAAAGATGGAGGAAGGATGTTTTAAAGTAGAAAAGAGCGGCAGGTGGCCTTGACCTGTGAGGTAGGAGACAAGGTTATCTGCGCAAAGTAAATGCAATCTGGATGTTAAGTGGACATAAAAGTCGATGGAATAAATTTGCTGCTAAAAATGATCGTGTAGGCAGGTGGAGAGTAAAGAATAGAAAGGAGTTAAGAACCAGGAATGGAGGCAGTGAGAAGAGGGAGGGTGGTGTGGGTGGACCAAATACTGCTATTAAGGAAAAACAGAGGGTGGAGGAAACAAACAATAAAGGGAAGGTTGACCCACTCAGCCCTTCTAGTCAGCTGGAGGAAGTCACAGAAAAGGAGGCCATATTGAATGGTAAGATTGGAGAAGACTGGTTAGGGAATAGGAAGCTTAGGTTGTTGTCTAAAAAACGCAGTTTCCAGTAAAAGGAAGAAATTGGGACTTTTTTTTAAAAAACCCACATATGTACACTGGAAAACATGGGCCACAGGGATAAACCTTCCATTTTTACTTCCAACCTTACCATGTGCTCACAAAAAAAAAAACGTTAAATACATCTAAGTTTTCACGAGGTTATTCAAAAGTGTAGGATGTAAACCAAGAATTGTTCACACCCCAACATCCCGCACAAATTAAGGGATTACATACCCGAGTGACAAGTACATACAAATGCATTACTTCTAGAGAGACTGAGATGTGGATAAAAGACCACATTTCAATAGAGGGGATCACATACACCAGTGGGATCTTTCTTCAGAGACAAACCCACGTTACGCAGGAAACAGTGTGGACTCTGGCGACGGCCCTCTGCTCTGGCTGAGGATTTCTGTCCCAGAGTGGTACAGGAATCTGCGTAGTGTTTTCGTTTGGAGAAAACAGGAAGTTACACTCATTACATCTTTTGCCCAGATGATAGAGCTCGAAATCCCCCCGGGGTTGTTCACGGAATGAGCCGCTCTGTTATGCTGTGAGCCGTGGTATTAATAAGCCACTCCTCACTAGATGTGGGGGTTCCACAACGCTTCCTCCACCCGTCACCACAGCAGCGGATAGGATTTAGGTTGAATATTCCAAATAGCCAATTATGACAGTTAATTTCAAATGAGATGACTTCGAACTACACGTGAAAACAATACTACTTTATATCACGACTCATGCCATCCGTGTATGTAATCAAAGCCTTCTAAGTCTTGATTTGTCCTTACAAAGACGAACGGTAGAGTGAATATCAACATTTGCCAAACAGGAGTTAGTGAAAGTCTGAAAGGGAAAGCCTAGTTAGGTTTTATCTTAGAAGTGATTTTTAAAAAGAGACACGCAGATAAGCTCGAGCTTTCTGGAGCCGATTCCTAAGGCCTTGCAGGTGTTAAGGGGATCGAGAATTGGCTGCAGGTTCCTCGGAAGTCTGCGCCGATTCGGAGGGCCACCTGGCCACCTCTGACTTTCTGATCTAGGGTGCATCCCCCAGTCCCGGTCGACAAAGGTGGGGAGTCAGGTTCGAGGCCACCTGGGGGGGCGGTGTGCGCACAGGGGAGGGGCGGGGGGACTGGGACCCCCTCTCCTTCGGGGTGCTTCAGGCCGTTTCTCCAGAGGCTGGTGGTGTCCCCGACCCAAGCAGCTCAGCCCCGCTCGCGAGGTCCGAAGTGGCGGGAAGGGGTCCTCCGCGGCGGCCCCAAGGCGAGGGAGGCTGTAAAACCTGGCGGAGAATCCGGCGCCCCGGGTCGGGGATGGCTTGGGTGTCCGGGGCAGGGGCCGCGGGCTCGCAGGTAGAAGCTCCCCACGCTAGCGGGGGCCTCGGCCGCGGAAGGGGCGCCCCCGGGGCCGCCGGCAGCGGCGGGCGGGCGGGAGCTTTCCGGGCCCCTCCCGCGCCTCGGGCTGGCGGGGCGATGGCGACGACGGTTTCCCGGCTCCCCCGCCCCGGACGCCGATGGCGGTGCGTTCCGGCCCTCCCCCAACAGCTTCTCCCCCGCGGTCGCCGGAGCCGGTGAGGCCGAAGAGGGCGGGGAGCCGCGGAGGGAAGGCGAGAGGGCGGAGGTTGCGTGGTGCAGGCGGCGGCGGCGGGAGGAGGAGGGCCGGGCGGGCAGGGGAGGAGGAGGAGGCGGGCGCCGTGTCGCACGCAGCTCCAGGCGGGGCAGCCCCGGTGGCTGAGGGACGCAGCCAGACCTTGGCGGGACGGGGCTTTCGCCGGGGCCCAGGCCCAGCGACCAGGCGGAGGCGTCGCGGGAGCCTTTGGGGCACCACAGAGATGCGGGTGAGTGTCGGCAGCCGCCGGGGCCGAGAGGAGGTGGCGGCGGCGGCGCAGGCCCGGCAACGAGCCGCGGTGTCGCAGTGACTTGGGCCGCGGCGGCCGAGCCCAGGCGCCTGGCGAGGCCTGAGCAGCCGAAACGCGGCCGGGCGGAATGGCGGCCGGGCCGGGGGACTCGTGGGCGGAGGACGCCGAGGGCGGCAGGAGAGCAAGCGGGGCCGGGCCCTGAGTCACCCCGGACGGGCCGGGGCGGCCAGGCCTGGACTACGCACTGGGAAAAAGCCCGATTCATCGCGCCTGGAGGCGGCGGCCTGGTGGCGCCGGCACCTTTCCCCGCCGCGACCGGGCCGGGCCCTCGGAAGCTGGGCCGACGTGTGGCACGGGGCAGCTCGGACGTCCGCGCCTCGCCTCGTGAGGCGACCTCCGCGGGACGCTGGGACCCGTGCCCTTGTCCCCTCGCGCCCACGCTTCTCCCCAGCACTGCTTTCCGGCCGACGCGTGCTCCCCTGTGAGCCCTGGGCTCGCGCGCAGGAGCAGCCGCCAAGCCGGGCTCTCTCGCTTTCCGGTTCCCTGCCCGCGGCTCTCGGGTTCCCTGCCTGCATTGTTGCGAACGTGCAGGGCGCTATTATTGGGTAACAGTCGCCCTTTTGCCCCGTTCTCCTGGGGCTATGGGCCGGGGCATGCGCGCAGGGATGCGAGCCCGGCGGCCGAACCGGACAGAGTCCCCCGGCGCCCGCCTAGCGCTCGCGAGTCGGGCCGGGCCCTGCGCCGCCGCGTCGGCGCGCCCCCGGCCCCAACGGGAGCGCGCGCCCTGACCCTGAGGGTAAACGTGTGCCCGCCAGGCTGCTGGGACTTGGGGTCCTCAGACTCGGGGGTCGTGCGCTTTTTTCCCCCCAAGATCTGAAAGACCTCTGTTTCTGCCGCCCGTGCAATTTTGTGTAGAGCAGACATAAGATAATTAAGAGAGAGAGGAATGCTTGTAGACATTCCTTGAAATGAATCCCCAAAGTTAAGGTTTTCTCTCTGCCTGGCTTTGCCAAAAAGAGGATTCTCTTTTCCGATTGGGTCACTCTTGGTTGCTTCTGGTTCGTAGTAGGGGTTAGTGGTAAGTGCGCAAATACTGAATTGCAGTCTACTTAAATATTTATTTGCCCAGTGTAATTGCTCTTTCTTGTAGTAGCATTAAAATCGTCAAAAGTTCTGAGTGGAGTAAACGATCACACTTTTTGGAATGCACTTAACGAAGCGGCAGAAGAGGAACTAGATTCCTTTTTTACTTCAAGCCTTGAGCTTCTAGGACCTAAGCGTATCTTAACGCCTCGCAGAAGTGTGTGCAGTTTTAAGTTTAACACTTCATTTTATGGTGCACCCGAAAATGTACCCGATTTTCTGAAATCTGGTAGAGTGTATTATGTAGTAAAATATGTAATGATGTTTAAAATGTAAAACCAGTCATTGTGTTTGGAAAAAATATTTGGAGGTGAGATTTTTCTTTGTTTAAAGAAGGTTTTTGGATATTGAAAAATGTTTTACTTGAAGGTTCTATTTGTTGTTTTCCATGGTGAGTCGAAATAGTTGCGCTGCATTTCAAATTCCAAAGCATGCAAACACAAGACTGGCTCGCTTTAACTCTATTATGCCCATTTTTGGAGGTTTCAGGAGAGTGTTCCTTAAGCTTGAGAGGGATGGCTGAATTGCTTTCTAAATACGTTAAACTTCTTTTCTCATTGACTTTATCTTTTACAAACGGTTTTGTCAAAAAAACAAACTAACTTTAGGTATGCTAGATTTTTCACCAATTTATGAAAACCTCCCTCCCTGAGAGCCACATGCTCAGGTCCTTATAGGCAGCCCCACCCCCCACTCCTAATGTGTGTACCACATCAGAAGACAGACACGCATGCCTGAGCTGATTCTGCATGGTTTCCTTAGATATTGCAGTTCATTAGACTCTTGCCACTTACTGAAAGTTATCTTCTGGCTGTAATTAACTGCAGTACAGCCTTATTTCCCATACATTTCCGATTGTGAATTCCTCCAGCGCAGGGGATATTCCTTACTTGTTTTTGCGTCCCGAGAGTAACAGAACTTGGTTATGGTGGTGCCTCAGTTGCTTTTTTTTTGAATGAATTAGTTTTCTGGAATAATTCTAACTTACACTTAACGTTTGAAAACATGCCCTGATTTTTGGCTACAGAAAACACAGTCCTTGCACTTAAGGGGGTTAAGAATGCAAGCTTTATTGTACACTTCTCGAGTGAAATTGATCGTCTCTCTCATCCCTCCTTTTCTACCCCCCCAATCCACTTCCCTTCCCCCCGCAACACCCCAGTACCTAGTACAGGGCCCTAACAGAAATCTGCCCGGGTTTTCTATACCTATGGAAGTCCAGGAAAGTGCCAAGAAAACACGTTGTGAAACTTTAACGTTTTTTCTTCTTAAAACTAGTTTTAAGGTGTGGATTTTTTAAATTTTTGTGTTTGGTGCTTCTTTGGAAACTCGATCAGGTTTTTCCCCCCAGGCTGAGTATCCAGCCTTGCCTTTGAAATGAAGCAGTTTGGTAATTAAGGCTCCTCCTTGTAGATGAGGCAAGCCCCATGGTTGTGCTGGAGTGGGATAGGAAGTTGCTGTGGGAGGAACCATGTCTGGGTCTCTGAGGGCCTTTCATCAGAGTGTCATTCCCAGTATACCCAGAGGCGTTGTGTCTGTCTTTCAGCATGGAAAATTAACATGAATGTACTTTAAATTGAGGAGTTGTTGCTTGCCATTCTTCAAATTAAAAATATTAGGGCCTTAAAAACTTAAGAACTTGGTTTTTTGTTTGTTTTGCTGTTTCAGCCCTCCGTAGGTCCTAAAGCCATGACCTTGAGTCATTCTGGAATAAAATGTCTTTGGGGGACTGAGCTTCATTTTGAACTTGTCTTTCAGGTATGTCTGGGAAAAGAATGTTAACCATTTTAAGGGCCAATTCTAAGTTTGCCTTGCTTTTTAAAAACATTTGGTAGTTTATCAGGGTGTTTGTTTTGCTTCCAAATGAAGAAATGAGCATTAAATGAAAAATAGATCCAAAAAGCCTTATGTTTACTACTGAGGACATAATTTCCTGTTTGTAGGAAGTTTCCTGTTTATAATATGAACATTTAGTAAACACACTATAAACAGAATTATTACAACATTTAATGACTTAAGTTTTTTATTCACTTATGGAAGTGTTTCACTTCTAAAAATTCTGTGAGGGAGAGAGATTTAAGTCATTTATTTTTGCTTAGGTGTAGAACATGTTGCTTGGGAGAGAAGACATGGAGTCTAGTTCAAGCTTACCTTTGCAGGGCCTATATTTCCTCATTTGTAAAATGAGATGGTTTTTAATTGACACTGCTGATTTCCTCAGGCCCCGAAAGTTTGTGGATTCCGTGGGAATGCTACAACTTTTAACATTAACAGGATTTTGAAAAAACAGTCTTAAAGAACATCAAGTATTGTATTCGTGTTTGAAAAGTAGGGTTGTGAAGCCTCAGTTTGATAGTTTAATTTTTTCCCTTGGGAAACTTGGACCAAGTAAGCACTGTTCTGCTTTTCCTGGTGTTCCTCCATGCTTCAGCGCCATTGCAGTTCCATTCTGAATCTGACTCTGCCTTTTCTGTCACCTGACGGCACACACGTCACCATCTCTGGAAAGCTGGCCCTGATGTCCTGGTCTGGGTTAGGAGCCTTCCCTGGGTTCCCATGTCGTCCTGCCTATGTCGCGATCACAGTATTTAACCTTTTGATTATACTTGGTGGTTTCTCTCACCAAACTGACCTCTTTTGGGACAGGGACACTGTGATATGCATCTGTCCCCAGCGCCTAGCGTACTGCATGCGTCAACATTCATGTACATCCTTCCAGTGCCCTCTGAAGCATGGGTACTATGGTTTAACCCGCTTTACAGAATATAGGTGAAGGAGCTGAGACTTTGAGTGGTGAAGGTCAGGGCTAGGAAGGTCGTCAAGCCGAGTTAAACGGGACAGGGTAGCTCCGGAGCTCAGGCTTTTAACCAAATGTTCCCAGAGTGTTTGACTAGTTTATATGAAGGTGGAAGAAGACTAGAAGAGATTAAAATGAAAATGCTTTAAGGACTGATATCTGATCATTATGGCAGAATTCATTATGCAGAACTGTGATCCACTACCAAGAATGAGCTTATTCTTCCTGGTCTTTTAGTAACATTGTGGGAGAGTGATTGGGCACTGATAGC